TCATGACTACTAGAAGTAAACCCAAGGGAAGAGATCACAATAGAAAATTTCTCAAACCAAGCACGAGGTGCTTGTTTGAAACCATATAACGCTTTCTTGAGCTTGCAAACATATCCAGAATCATGTGAAACACCAGGAGGGGGAGCCATATAAACTTCTTCTTGAAGATCCCCATTCAAGAAGGCATTTTTAACATCAAGTTGAGAGGTATGCCACTGACGAATCGAAGCAACTGCAATAAGAGTACGAATAGTAGTCATTTTTATAACAGGAGCAAATGTCTCCTCATAATCCATACCATACTGTTGAAAGTACCCTTTTGTAACCACCCTAGCTTTGTATCGCTCAACAAATCCATCAGAATTGGTCTTAATTTTATAAATCCACCGACAACCAACAACACTCTTACCAGGAGGTAGAGGAACCAAATCTCAAGTACCTGTCTTATGCAAAGCAGAAAGTTTCTCATCCATAGCTTGCTGCCAAAGAGAGTCAAGAATTACCTCTTTATAGGAAAAGGGCTCAGAGAGACAATGAATAGAAGCTAAAAAGGAAGTAAAAGATGAAGAATAACAAGAATAAGTAAAATATGGTAACTTTGTGGACTTAGGAATGCGTGTGAATTGACGTAGAAGTGGATCCACAATCTCAGATGGAGCTTGAGGGACCATAGGAGAGGAGGTAGTTTTAGGTGTGATAGAGAGTAAAGTGTCAGTACCTGTAGAATGATCAGTGCTGCTATTTGAAGTATTAGAAATCTGAGATGACAAACTATCAGAATCCTCAGAAAAAAGATCTATACGAATAAGATTAGATCTAGTCAAGTTATAAGTAGTGGATGGAATAGAAAAGAAAGGTATATGCTCAAGAAAAATAACACGACGAGTCACCTAAAGTTTTTGAGTTATTGGATCAAAACAACGATACCCCTTTTTAACTTCACCATATCCAAGAAAGACACAAATAGCAGATCGAGAGGACAGCTTGTTGCGTTCAACATGAGGACGAAGAACGAAACAAGTACAACCAAAAACTCTAAATGAAGAATAATCAGAGGCATACCCATACAACTTTTCGAAAGGAGAAACACCTGAAATATGAGAAGATGAAATTGTATTAATCAAACCTACAGCAGTAAGAACAGCTTCACCCCAAAACTCACTAGGAACAGAAGAAGACAACAAGAGAGAACGAGCAGTTTCAACAATATGCCTATGTTTTCTTTTAAAATGATGTTTTATTAAATAAATCCAACAATAACGAGTATGATCATCAATAAAATAAACATAATATCGAGACCCTCCTTTTGTGGCAACAGGAGAAGGTCCCCATACATCAGAATGAATCAAATCAAATGGAGAAGAAGAAACAGAAATACTTTGATTAAAAGGTAAAGCTGAAAATTTTACTAGTTTACATCCACTACATTCAGAAATATCACAAGTTTTCAAATTTCCTAAAGCCCCTATGGATGCCAAAAATCTCAAACGAGAAGACGAAACATGACTTAAACGAGAATGCCATAAATAAAAACTAGAAGAATAATGACTCAAACGAAAAGAAGATAAATCAACACTAGTAGCAGCAGCAGCAGCAACAACTGACACTTTTAACTCATCCAAAATATATAGTCCCCCCTTCCTACGGCCTGTCCCAATCAGCTTCTGAGACTGCAGATCCTGCACATAACAAGAAGAGGAGAAAAATGTGACTAAATTTTTAGAATCACATAACTGACTAACAGAAGCAAGATTTAATGTGAGTTTTGGAATATGATAAACATTAGGAAGAGATAAGTGAGGTGTGACAACATAACCAACACCTGTTAAAGGCATATGAGTGCCATCAGCAGTCATAACAGGAATAGAAGATGAAGAAAATACAGAAGCAAAAGGTGAAGAATCTGGAGACATATGATGTGAGGCACCAGAATCCAAGACCCATACAGAATGTGACATACCTGGAGAACTATAAGGCAACTAACCTCTTGAAGAAGANATAAGTGAGGTGTGACAACATAACTAACACCTGTTAAAGGCATATGAGTGCCATCAGCAGTCATAACAGGAATAGAAGATGAAGAAAATACAGAAGCAAAAGGTGAAGAATCTGGAGACATATGATGTGAGGCACCAGAATCCAAGACCCATACAGAATGTGACATACCTGGAGAACTATAAGGCAACTAACCTCTTGAAGAAGAAGCATACATAGCTTGTGGCTGTAAGGAGAGAAACTTCTGAAATTGCTCAGCCAAGGTACTGGAATCGGTGAAAGGACCTGATGAAACTACTATTGCAGTATTAGACTGTGGTGGTTTGTAACCCTGAGGTGGTCTATGAGCATTAGATTATGACTGGTTGCCAGACTTTCAAGCTTGAGATTGCTGCTACGATTGATTATGCTGTCTTAATTTAGGACATTGAGCTTTCCAATGATCTTTCTGCTTACAGAAACTACACTCGTCGANTAGTCTATGAGCATTAGATTATGACTGGTTGCCAGACTTCCAAGCTTGAGATTGCTGCTACGATTGATTATGCTGTCGTAATTTAGGACATTGAGCTTTCCAATGATCTTTCTGCTTACAGAAACTACACTCGTCGAAGGCAGACCTTGTGTAAGGCTTATTCTGATTATGAGAGAATGGTTTAGAAGGCCCTGCTAGCACAGAAGGATCAGAAGTAGAAAGAATTCCTTTGTCAGAATAAGACTTAAGACGTATCTCTTCAGCAAATAACTCACTGACAACTGAGTCAACAGAAGGAAGTGGAGAACGATGTAAAATTGAACCTCTAAGTCCTTCAAAATCACTACGAGGTGCCATTAAAAATTGTACCAACCGTTGTTGCTCTCTACGAGCAATATAGGCACCACATGCCTTTAATTTAGTCGATTCTGTAAGAGTCAATTGATGCCAAAGATCTGTCATAGCAGAATAAAACTCCTGAATACTCATATTCTTCTGTTGAAGAGCTCGTATGTCATGCTCCAATTGATACTGCTTTGCAAAATTTNTTAGTCGATTCTGTAAGAGCCAATTGATGCCAAAGATCTGTCATAGCAGAATAAAACTCCTGAATACTCATATTCTTCTGTTGAAGAGCTCGTATGTCATGCTCCAATTGATACTGCTTTGCAAAATTTGATTGAGTGAATAACTTTTGCAGATGATCTCAAACCTTCTTTGTTGTCTCATACTTTGCCAATTGCATACCTATAGAATGCTCAACAGAATTGTTGTTCCAAGTAATAATTTTTTCATTGTCTGCTTCCCAGACATCTATCAAATCAACATAACCCGCATTAGTATTCTTATGTTTCACAGAAGTTCCACTAACATATCTCCATAGCTTTTTACCCTTAAGAAAATTTCTCATCACATAACTCCAATACGAATAATTCTTTTCATCCAACCTCACACTCACAGACTGAAGCGAATCGTCTCTTGCAATAGCCATAATCAACAACCAAAGAAAACCAGATTGCAAAAAAAAAAAAAATAGAACAAATACCAGATTGCAAAAACGAAACAAATACCTTCTCAAAAAAAATTTTGGATCCGCGTAAACTGTGTTTGAGATTAAGCCTTGTCCCATGAAACTTTGCTCTGATACCATGTTGAACAATCTGAAGAAATACAAGAGATAAGAAAATAGGAGGTTAGAGTTTTATTGATACTGCATAATTGAATTGAAGAATACAATAAACTAATTTAACCTAAATAGAAAGAGACTATATATAAGCTAAACAAAACATGGAAAATAAAAGACTATTCTACCCTTAATAAACAAAATAACCCTATATTTCTTAACAATTAATACATATATATAATATCACAAACCTCACCCACCACTGTCTCCACCCACCACCGCCACACACACACACACTCCACTAACAACACGGCCACATCTTGGCTCTGCCTCTCTTTTTCTCAGCCCACCAACGATTCAGATATGAGGTTTTTCTTATAACATGCACACAACACACATTTTTTCTTATACAAGTTATTTCTATGAAATTTTTATATTTGATCAATTTGTTATATAATGTTTTTTTTTAATCTTTTTTGCATATTCATTCGTGAGGTTTTATTATGTTTTATTTCAATTTTTTCTTAAAATATTAGAAATTAATTGTTATAAGCGAGAATGAAAATAGGGATGAGTATCAAAATTTACGTGCAAGGTGGGACAAGGTTAAAATTTCTCCCGCTAATGGAGGTGAATCGGAAATAGACGAATATTTTTTAAATGAGTACAAAGTAAAAACTACTCCTCCGACCCCACCGCAATTCACTACCATTCCTACCCTTCGGTTCGCCAATGAGATTCATTGTCACTTGTTGAGTACAATAATTTTTTGCTGCCATGTTAGTTTCTCTTTCCTTTATCTGGTTTAATGTTGGATGTCACAATAGGCATTGATTGTAACATACCCTGTCTTGTGTCTCTTAAAAATTATATCAAAAAAAAAAAAAGATTCCAGAATGTGAAAGTTACACTGTCCATATAAAAGTGATCACCACCCAGAATAATAATAATAATACGGTATTATTATACGATAAGGAGTGTTTTGATGGACAAGATTACCTTTTTGTTCTAGAGTCATGCAGCAATACAATAACCAATAGGATATACTCAAACAATCTTGGAAATTCTTGTTAATCAAAGCGAACTTGATTTAGAGTTAGTAAATTTGAATTTATTTGTATTATGCTCTAATGATAAACGGATGAGTTTATCAGATCCGTCAAGTGAATGGGTTTTCCATCATTCCATGCACCTCCGTTAAATATGACATATGCATCTGGTTAAATACGACTCATGCACGACACAACTGAGCTCGTATATACACAATAGATTACTTGAGTAAGAGTTGAGTAAATTCTAACACGACACAAATGACATTGTTTATAAACACGACACGACTAGAGAGAGAGAGAGAGAGAGAGAGAGAGATCATATGCAAAATATACTATACCAATCAATATGGGTATACTTCAAAAGTTCCTTGGGGTCCATACACATAACAATATACAGAGTCTCTATAAACAACATATCATCTATTAAGAACAGATTGCATTATAGTTACATAACATAAACCAACTGCTGTCAACTTCTCATATCACTAAAGATGTCCACTGAATTGCTATACTCCCTTGCAGTTCAAGTCAATTGTGATTGGTCCTGTATTCAGATCAAGGGTCCCTAACAATCCAGATTTTCTCAATTGTCCCCCATTTTTCTCACTGTGTTCCGATGATCTTTTGGCATATGCTTGTTCAACACAATTACCATCAGAAATTATGCTTCCCCTTCTCTTCCTTCCACAAGCTTCATTGCTAGAACAACCCTTTTCTCCTGAATGCATTTCCATCAATGAAAGAACTACAGAATTTTCATTGCACTTATCGGTTTCATGATTCAGTTGAGTCTCTTCCTTTCTTCCCGAGCTCTCGGATGATGTTAAGGAGCTTTCTAGGGAGCATTTGTAGCCTCTTAGATGTTTCTTGTCTGTATCTTTTGAGCTTGAGCCTCCAATCTCAGTTAACACAGATAACGAAGAGCTCGGGCACCCGGTGTCCACCATTGAGACTAATTGAGAAAGTTCAGCCTTTGCAAGTTCCACTCCCATTGAAGAAGAATTATATACAGCAAGAGTGTCCTGTGCTTTCTTCAATACTGATTGTAAATACTTCCCTTGAGCTTCAATTCTCAACTGCAAATGTCTTTGTACCTAATCGAATCACAAAACACAAACACAAACCCTCTTTTTAATCTACTAGACTTTACTGAAATCATTTGTAAAATAGTGTGGAAATTCAAGGGGATTTACCTCAATCTGTTCATGAAGTTTCCTCTGAACCTCCATTTGCATTTGTAAAGCTTGAGCTATCTGCAAACTTCTGAAAAACATGAGGTTTGATAAGAAGATGGCTTTTGTTCTATAATCTTTAATCTAATTTATCCAATACAACAGGAAACTATATCTAACTATTCTTACTCATTAGTATGATTCTGGGTTCCATCAGTGAAGTCCTCACAGAAGTCAGTCCTCTGATTCTCTGTGTACTCTGCATCAAATAAGTGTTTGATAAAAACCGATCAAAATTTTCATGTTTTTTCACAATCTCCCAATCTAAAATTGGTTACTCACCTTCCTGCTTATTGTCATTGTAGGTTTGTGATTGTTGACTCTTCCCCAGCCTATATTTCTGCAGCAAACAAAAACCAATGTTAAAAAATATCAAAATCGTTGTATTCAATCTATACGAACAGAAACATGAAAGCAAAGGAAAATGCCTGCAAATGACTCTTAAGGTGGTACAATGTAAGTCCATGAATGCCCATCACCCTCATCAATGATTTAGGTGTTGCCTCTGCCCATATATAGAAACATCAATGGTATCAGAACTTGCATAGACTCCAAAGTTACCCAAATGTGCAAAAAAAAAATGGATTAGATTATAGAGCTTTAAGCTTTTGATGCTCAACTGTCTGGCCCTCCAAGCTGAGCCACGGCATCGACGAATCGTTGGTGAAGTTCTGGAGTCCATTTTAGTCTAGGCTTTGCATCACTGGATAAAACCAAGCTCATATCTTGTTTTTGCATATTCTGAAGAGCCATTTTGTGTGTTTTGGATCAAAAGTTAGAGTTTGAGGACTCAAACATAAATATGGTTTTTGACCCCATCCAGCTCTGCCTCAAATATGTGGCAGCTGTAGTTGCTCTTTATAATTGGGAGTTGTTGGGCTGTCCTATGTTCTCACTCCATATCTGGAGACATAAGTGGGGTTATGTTTAAGGGAATATATGCCATGAGCTGTGGCTCTTCCTTTCTTCCATTTCTCATTTCATTTCAAACTTTTTCTTTATTTCTATCTCCAATTTTTTTTTTTTTATCTTTCTTCTTTGACTTGAAAGGAAAGAGAGAATCTCTGATGCAGCAAAAACAGGGAAAGCAACACACTTCAATTTGAGTCTCAAAAGGAGAGAAAAGAGGAAAAGTGTATCTCTCTCTCTCTCTCTCTCTCTCTGTGCTTGATTCCCATGTGAATTAGGCAGCCCCACCATGATGTTTAATGGGTGGAACTTTTCAAAAACTGTGAGAGGGTTTGATGGAGAAAAATAATTATTGGGATGCTTCAATGGATATTTCTTTATAGACAATGAAAGGGAAAACCAAATTAGTCTTTCTTTCTTTAGATGTTTTCTTTTCCTTTTCCTTTTTTTATTCACTTTTTTGAGGAGGGTGTGGTGGGATTGGCAGATTCTGCTTGTTCCTTGTAGGGATGGAGGAATCAAAGAATCTGGCAATAGATTTTAGGACAAACTTGCCGGATTTACATATCAAGAATACTTTAGATGAGAATAAAACAAATGAAACAAGTCATTTCTTCAAACTTATTGTACAAATCCATCAATATGACATATAATAATCCTTTCCTGCTTAGATTTCATTTACAATGACAGGGGAAAGAAGACCCTGAATTTACTGATTGCAAACAATCAATCCGGCTATTCTTCGACATGGTCATTTTTTGGCACCAATACAAGGAGGGGAATAGCACTCGGCCCCGATAACTAATCTTTCAGTATCTCATCTTTTTTTTTTTTTTAAATGAGAACGTAACTCTCGTGTAAAGTCTATTTACGATAATATGTTACCTTACTCTATTGTTTCTGTGATCCATGGCTACAAACAATTCAAACCAAAATCTATGGTTGAAAATGATTTTGCGGTATGAGTTGTCTTATTGCTACCTTGTGGAGGGACGATCAAACAATGGGGGTAAAGTCTCCAAAAAAAAAAAAAATTCAAGTAGGAGCTTGTGCTTTCTTGTTTAACATTTGTGTTTGACTCATTTGTATAAATCGAAGATCCAGCCTATAGGATTCAAGCTAATGTCAGAAGCTAGATATGAGATGATCAACTTGCATTTTTACTCTGAAACTGACAACACAAGATTCAATTCTTAAATAATATTGTGAATTTCATTATGGTTAATTGAAGAAACAAACAAGTTTGAAGTTGAACTTTCATCTCTTGGTTGTTGTGGTACAATTATACAGAAACCAACACACATCTATGTTGAAGCTCTCTCTCTCTCTCTCCCCCCTCCTTCCCTCTCTCTCTCTCTCTCTCACACACACACACAGAGAAGGAAAATGACAAAAAGATCCAAATAGTTTATGGTTCTACACTTTATGGCAGTATAGAAGTAACCACTGAAAAACCAAAAAAAAAAAAAGAAGAAGAAATTTGGGGAGGGAAAAAAAAGAAAGCAATCAACTGGATTACTCTAGCATAAAAGCCATCTAAAAAATATATTCCAAAGGAAGTGTTAGCTTTTTTAGTCTGTAATCCATGTCCAAGATGAACTGAAGAAAGAAATTTTGGCAAAAGATAAGCAATTAATAAAGAGAAGGAAAAAGAAAGGGAAGAAAAGAAAAGAAAGGCCACAATGGCCATCAAAAAAATCATAAAAGTTAGTTAGATCAGATCAATCTTCGAATTTCTTGGGTTGCGGTCAAGAGTCCAATCACTGGAATCAAAATCCAATGATTAATCTTCAAAGCATTGCCATCTGAGTGCCATACATTCAGTTGGTCTTCTCCATTGATAAACAATTTTGAAAGATTGAAAAGTGAGAAAGATCAGATACTAAGTATTTGTTTAGAGAAGCTACTGAGTGATCACTGATCAGGACCCTATTAATAACTATAGAACAAACTAGAATAGGTCTTCATGGGTGTCTTCATGACAGTTTGTATTGATGTTTTTTTTGCTAATGGGAGATCCCAAAAGTTATTGTAAATATTCCAAATACAGTTGACTGACAGATTAAGATCCACAATGTTCGTCGATCACATTGTTATTTCACAAGTTTAACAACTCACCATTATCTTTCCTGCGTTGTTATTCCTTGGTGGCAAGCTCATCAGTTCAGTTTCAAAGAAAGGAATATAATTATTGAAGGGTTTTATGAATTGTGGCCCAAAGGTTTGAAAAACAAGAAAAAGAAGAGGGTATTGAAGTACCTTTCTCTTTAACCAGCTGCTGTACTTGGGGAGCTCCTTTCATGCTTTAATATATTCCATAACAAGTAAAGGAGATTCTAGGATGATGCCAAATGACCCCCTTGGTATATTTAGGTCAGTAGCAGAAGGTCCGGTGAATCGAAAGGCGTTTAAACAAAGTTGTGCCTCATCAATTATTATTCTGCTAGGGACCCATCAGAGGAAATCTTACAAATCCAAAAGCATGGAAAAGAAGATGAGAAGAATATGGCCTCAGGAATCCGGAAAAGCGAAACAAAAGGAACTAGTCACCATCCCACTAAAAGAATAATTGAGATTTATCCTTGCAAAATTTTACTGATAAACATCCATGGCTATGGAAAATGACACGAGCCATATGTCACTTATCGCTTTCTGATCTCAATTATAAACCTAGGTAATTTGTGAGCTTTAAGAGAGAGAAAAAGAATATGCACCATGTGAGGAAGACTAAAGTTTAATTAATTCTTTAGTAGCGAAAATGAAACAACAGTAGTTAAATCATAGTAAACAAAGTTGCCCACATGCATTTTCCTAAGTGAATGTACCATTATGTGTTTCAGTCCAACATCCAAGGGCATGCCATGGGTTCTGCGGTGCAGGTCCTGGCTAACAACAGGATTAAATGAAGCAATTGTAACTTCAAGAAACAACGACTTCTAATTTTTTATCGCCCGTTCTTATCCAAAGTTTCAGTAATGAGATGTGTTCATTATCAGAACAGAACCATCACATAATTTAACAAATATAAATGCTGTCATATGGCAAAATCTTAGTCAATTTCCTCTTTTTATAAAAACAAATGGATCATCTTCCATGCAGAGAACACAAAATCATATCTTAGTTTCTGTATCTTAGGCATGGCTTTGCAGCATCAAATTTTAAGCATACTGGAGAAACAAATTGGTCAAATGATTGTATAATTAATAGAGCACATATACATCAAAGTTATGGGAGTAAGGACAATCACTCAAAATAAGCTTAGCTTTGTTGTGTTTTGAATTGCAAACTTGGCCTAATTTGGCCTGTGGACCAAAGGGAAGGAATAGGATTTCGACTTTCCCAAAACTTTTAATTTGATTGACATACTTATCTACTAACACCAACAGTTGATTGAATTCATAAGCTTATAGGTAGGAAGAATGATTGCTTTCTTCACCAAGACACTAAATGTCACAATTCCTCATGTGGTGATGTCCGATTACTAGAATATGTTTGAGGCACATATTTTTGTCCAAGACCCCACATTCTGAATGATGAAGACAAAATAGAATCATAAAAAATTATTCCCCTAATAATTTGAACCAGGGAAGAAATTTTGGATGCATGGTGTACCCAAACCCCTTAACACCTCTTGGTAACAAAGGAAAATTAGAGACCTATGCACTTGTTATTGCTCCAGGCCTTTTCGTGTTGTTCTCAGGAAAAGAAATTTATACGGTTTCCTTATACATTTACAAAGATTGTTCTATTATCCCCAAAAGAATCCGAACTTGAGAGACTAGTTAGGAGACTTAAAGAGTATAATCATTTCTATAGAGACTTTAGAAAATAAAACGTACCATGACTTTGATTGTTAATGAATTAAAAGAAGAAAATGGCAGTGTAATGCTTCTATACGTTTTGCAGTGAGATGAACAATCAGACCACTAAGGCATTTTTGCTCCACTGTGAATTAGATGGGGCAAGGCGATAGGCGTCACTCATCAATCCTAGAGCCATTGCTGACATTTAGTCTTATAATTTGGATGATGTTCCAATCGGGTTTTAGAAACAAACTTCAATTTGTTGAGTCCCTGCAAGTTCAGTTGAGATTTCGCAGCTCTATTTGCATCCATTTAAATGATGAATCCCAATTCAAGGAGTAGAAAACCTGCTTAGGCAAAGCAACAAGAAACATTTTGACAGCATTGACCTTTGATGCTCCAGACTAGGATCTTTGATACAACAACTAAATTTGTAAACCTTATAGGTAAAGAAATTATGCATATATTTATAAGGTGAGCATGCAACACCAAGTGGACTAGAGTCTGGTTTAGTGATCCTCTACCAAAATTACACAAAGAAGGCAACTAAGTGTGAAAGGAAATGTTTATTATGAAACAATAGAAAGGTAACTGAATCAGACTTTTTTAAGGCTTCTAAGTTTTCAACATCAAGAGCATGTTATCAGTATAGGGTCATAACATTTAGTTAAGGAAGCTAATAGGGATGACTTTCATTTGAGTAAACGAGGGTGAGAGCTTTTATTTAACACAAAGCATAGGGTTCTTGATTTTACATATTAGCCTACATCAAAATTGCAGGCTATTAAGCTTTCCTTTTATTTACAGGATATACAAACAAAGAATGCAAAGAAACTCAAACATCATATGTACTTTATCGATCTAAAGAAAACATTTATGCAACTCATAATAGGATGCCGCAGTGTTTGTTCATAATTAATATAAGGGTATCCCAAAAAAATCTATCGAAATGAGAGAACAGCCCATTCTGCTCTTCAATCAGGATCCAAATTTTCATATAACTAGTTAAATATTTACCTAGAAGTTATCCACATCCAAAATCAGCTATGCTATTAGTCCACAATACACTTTTTTTGCAGAACTTAATTAAAGTACTTTGTATGCTTAAATATCAAGCTCAACAATGGATTCTACCACATTAACAAGGCCAGCCTCATCCATATGACTCCATTTTTAGAAAATAACACCTTGAAAAATCCCGAAAATAGCCAATGCAATAAAGGAAAACCAGGTTCTCAAGAAAGAAAAAACATCCACCTACATATACCAACGATATAATAAGATAATATCACCCAAAAGAGAAATCCCAGAAGCACTTAACCAGAGTGATCCGACATCAAATCTGGCAATGTTGTGTCTTTAGTGGATTTGGACTAAGTGGCTGCCATCTGATGTTGAGAAGACTTTGTTGTTTCATTGATATAAAAAGATGGATCCTATGTTTAATGTTGGTCATGAAAACCAACTTTCTGACTCACTGATATGACCAATTTATCATGTATATGTCAGACTTTATTCTCTACTTGGAGCTGTGCTTTAGCCAATGTTTTTTGGGCACACTAGGGGATCGTTTAATCAATATTTGAAGTTCTTGGATTGCGCTGCTCCTTGTACATCAATCACTGGTGAAGACCAGGTGAATCACCAAAGCTAGCCTACCACAAAATGTGGTGATCATTTATCTCCTTTGATGTGTCATTCTGGTTTTAGAGACCCTGTCATTCAACCTTCCTTCTCAGATCAGGCTAGATATATAGCCTACTGTCTGTTCACTTAGGGACTTCAGGATCTTGGTAGTTGATTATTTAACCCCAAACCTTCAATTTCAAAACAATCTTGCTCCTTATAAGTGTAGGAACAGCACTACTGCCTCGACACTTGAAATCTGTTGATGTTTTGAATCGGTAATCCAAGGTCAAATAATTAGGTCATGACTTACAATTATAGGATCATTTTTCTTCCTAGTTTGCTTCAATTCAAGATAATGCACAAATCATTTCCATTGTAAAAGCTCTCTTGAATGTGAACCACTTTTTGAAATTGGCCTACAATTTGACATGGATGACAACCATTAGAATGAGAAGCTTCTTTTGCAAATATAGTTGTTCAGTGGGATATCATAGGAAGGTGAAGACTTGAGATTTGTAGCAAATCATTAACAATTCCTTGGATCAATTTTCACTTTCTGTTGGTAATAATTCTTCCATTCAACGATCATAAACACTTCGACATCAGATTAGACTTGATATGTTGTACCTAATTTACCCTAAATACACCCTGGATACATAGTAATTTCCATGATGAACTTGCTAAAATGTGGAATCATAGTTGAATATTACATTCAACATGTGAATCATTTTTACCCACAAAATTATTCTTCAACGATTCGTCGGTATACATTGATATCTATTACTTACTTCTGTGGCTGAAAAAAAAATAACCCAACTTTTTTTTCTGGTGGAAATAGTTACTAACAAATCACAAGTCCCCTTGAACAGCAGCCATGGATACAACAGGCATGTTAATGGAGAAAAGATGATAATTTGCTATCAGAAAAGATATGAAAGATAAATTGATGTTGATCAATCATAGTAATTGCATTATAAGTGGCTGTCAGCTCAGCACCACTTCATCCACTTCTAGGCCGCTGCTCATGAAGAAGTTTTAGAATGCTAGAGAAATTTTAGATGGTAACAGGAAGGAGAATACAACACAAGCATATAACTCTTGGAGGTGTCTGAGCTTGCCCTATGGTAATTCAGAAGTCTCGGGTTCAACACTTCTCATACCCCAAGGGCCAGCCACCCTAGTTCTTCGGTGGACATGTTCTAAACTCGATCGGGTTACAGTAGACAATATATAGATCTATGACTAGAAAGTTTATTCTGAGATCTAATTCATTCCAACCGCTAAATTAGTTGTGAATTGATAGATTCCCAGATTAGATCTCCGAATTAGATCTAAATAATATTTTCCTTTTGATAATGTCGTTACATTAACATATTATTTTGATGAATCATCATTCTCAATGGCCTTGGCCTTCAGCCGGCCCTGGATGGTAATTTGCCCCCTGTCCTTCTGAATAGTCATGTTCATGGATCTCCAAATCCATCCTGCCATTGATAAGCCCTTCTTCTTCCACAGTTTCCACCACCATTATCTGAAAAAAGATGTTGGGAAGAGAAGAATAAATGCATTAGCTGTGTATGTTACTTCCTTTGGGTCTTAAGTCTAAGTCCATTTCACAATTATTGCATACTGTTTTTAGGGTAAGACTATGCTCGGTACCATACCAAAAGTTATAATTTTTGGGAGTTAAATTAATTATAAGTTCATTGAGTCAAGTTAAAACATAATGAGATCGTTATGATATCTTAAATGGATCCTAAACATTTTGGGATCAATCTTGACTATTCCAAGGTCTACCCTAATATTTTAAGAGCAATCTTATTGTGTTATATTGAAACTTAACTTCAAAAGCTATAGTTTAACCCAAAAACTTGATAACTTTAGTACCGCACCTACTTTGGTACCGAAATCTTGCCAATAACCATAAGGTTTTTATTGTTGTGGAATGCACCTGGTAGTGGTGGGTGTTCTCAGCTGCCAAAATATCTTGACTTCCATGCAACATACTCTCACTCCCTATGATCAGAAAAACAATAATACTTGGGCAAAGATCAAGAACAACGCCTTACGCGCACTTTAGTTAGCCCGGACACCCC